AGCTTTCACACCGATGTGATATTCATATTAAATATTTCTTGACATTATGTAAATTTTTTCTACTTCTGAGTGCCGCGTCTTTTATAAATGTTATAATTAAATCACTGTCCACTCGCGCGCTCGTGCACGAAATAAGTCTCCACGCCTTCTGCAGCGGCTGTTAACGCTTTTACGCTCCCTATGAAATACGGCGGATATGCCGGTAGGTGACGGCTAATGGCCGTATATTGTTTTCTGGAAGTATGCAATTTTTCCGGTATACTTCGCGAATAGCTCAAGTTGAATTATAAAATTTCTTCTTTATTTAAACGTTTAAAGATAGATTGTTTAGTAATAACCTCATTTTCATTTATGATCTTTCAAATCTAAAGTACTTTGCCCGTTATTAAGGTGTAATTAGTATAATTAGAAATTTGTTAGCCGTCGGATTTCTAATGATTGATTATTATTGGCAAATTGCTAACTTTTGATATACAACGGAACATTAAACACATTATCCGGGACTGTTGCATATGTATAGCGGCCGTTAAAATGTGACTATTAATGAAACATTAGCAAGAGACGCGTCGTTTAATTCGCAGTGCTCCGATGAACAAAATAATTGGATCAATCGCGTTTGAAATGGCGGAACCATTAATGTGTATTTATGCCTCTGCGAGACATATCGGAAAATACATCGTCTTCGAAAGGTAATGGCTTTGTCAAATAAAACCTGCACGAAAGGAGAGAGGAAACGCAATTTTCCAATAGGCCATTCAAAATGACGTCGCCGAGCGCATTTTAGAGACATCTTTAGTGCGCCATATGTCAGTCCATTAGACGGCGAGGCGTCATGAAATCGTGATCTTCCAATGAGCGTAAATTCGCCCTCGGGCAATGAAGATAACAAGACGAGCGACAAATGCACTTTCAATGAAGTTTTACGTTCTCTCGAATTTACCATCCGTTTCGTCGTTATAGACGAAGTCGCACCCAGAAATTGGAGGGAAGAATTGAGTGAAAAATTTCTGGCTGCTTATAGTTTTATGTATACCTAAAATAAAATACACGCATAGCAAGAGACAATGAAAAACTGATTAATTTTTTTCACTTTTGTTAAAATATAGTTTCTAAATCTTTTTACTCTTTTGCATATTTTGACCGATCTATCTCACCTTATGAAAATTTTTGTGGACTTTAAGTAAAGCAAATTTAATGAAAAGAGAGTAATGAGAAAAAAATATGCGAATACTCAGATTGCGTATAAATATTCAGATTGTATGAGAGATGTTTCGTAATGTTAACTTTTTGCTTCGTCGATATGATTGAAAAGTTTATGGCAACTTATAATGAGATCTCTTTGCACATGTATTCAGTAGTATAAAATTTAAATATATTTAAGGCTTTTAATGCCCCTTAAAGATCGCGGCGAGAAATTTAGTCCCCCCCAAAAAAAGAAAAAGGAAACAGCTTTTGAACGTTTTAGAACTTCTAGAAAAAAAACTAATGCGATTCAATGAGATGATCGTTTCTAATTTAAACTTATTCGATGAAATTTTATGTATAACCAGTAGCAGTCTTGTAAATTTTATATTATTATATTTGTATAAAATTCGTAACGCAAATAATAATGTAGAATATCATTGTGACTTTCACGTCTGAATATCGAAGTATTGGCGGAAGATAGTTTCTCTTTTCGATGTAGAGGCACGAAAGAAAGTAAAATTTACTTTACGACTATGCCAGACAGAGATTCATTTGCTGGCACAAACGAATAGATTTATGTATGTATAGATTTCAAATATATATAGAATAAATAAGACAGGTTTCTTCAATTACTTTTTCTCTTTCATGATAATTTATTTATGATCAATATTATGAAGGCGCAGAGCAAATTAAAATTTAACATTGAAATATAAATAAAAGCAAAAAAATAAATATTTCTATTATTTATTTACAAGTATTTATACAAGTACATGTTTTTCTGTTTTATTTTAAAATAAAAATAACATCAAATATTTTTATTTCAAATAATATTTCAAATAATATTCAGATAAATATACGTGTATTTATAATATATTGAGCCTATATTTACTGCAATATTTGCTATTTCTGTATACGCATTATATATTGTGTACACATAAATGTAATGTAGAAAGTTCATTCCTGCAATTCCTTCGGCGTTACACAAACATTACATCGGTAGCCTCCTCCTTCGGGAGAACTCTGGGAATGTTTGTTTTACGATGGTGCATCATAAAGACACGATCCACCAATGAGCATAAAACTCTCGACTTCGGTGTCGTAACTCGTCTGACAATAAATACAGATGGAGTGGAAAGCTGTGCCCTACCATTCCGGTAGGACTCTTTTCCGGTCAGTCTGAGAGCTTCTGCAGCCGTATAATTCGCGAACTTCGTCACTGCCTGCATATCACTAAAATTTGTCTTGATTCTTTCGGATTCCATGGCGATTACTTTATTCCGATTATCGTATTCTCTCGAGGAATTGTGAAGACATTTACGAAAAAGTGTCGCTATTTCGAATGATTGCTTTTGTGACAATGCAGTCGTCCAAACTTCTTTCTTTAACTCGAAATAATATTGGAATTCTAATTAAATTGCATTAATGTGATCTTGTTTATAGTAAATTCTTGGCAAAATAAGTAATAATAATAAACGATATAGTTATTATTAAAAGAATGTAATAAATTAGAATAGATAGAATAAATAGAATTAATAAATCACTTATAAAAATAAAACTTTAAAAATAAAAAGTAAAGAAAAATCCAAGCTAAATTTACTATTAAAATATAATCAGAGAGCTATTATTTATTCTCTAACATTTCTTAGTCAATAATAATTATAATTTATCACGGGACAATACACCCTTTTACTTATCTACATAAAAATTTATAAATTAATCTATAAATATATTATAATTATAATTACCAACAATATCTTTTATTAATACACACATATATCTTTCAGTATAAATAATTTAGCAATTATATATAAAACTACATTTGTTTATGCATTTTCTCAAAACTTTCTATATTTATAGTTAAAAAAAGCTCTGATATGTATTCGAAATGTGAGAGAAACGCAAGCCTGGATAATGTTTCTGCCTTGCTGCAGAGCTCGTATTTCTCCAGGAAGTTTCGAATAAGTTTAACTCGACCCGTCTGACCTCTCCCAGATTTTCCCTTCAAATCTCTCGATACAGAAATAGTAAGATTAAATTTCAACGGAGAAGAAAATAAATTCTGACTGCAAATTATCCGATTTACATATGCATAGTAGTTTGAGAGATGAAAGTAAAATAAATTAATTCATAATTATTTTAATTAATGTTTAATAATATACATATATTGCAATCATATTTCAATACATTTTTAAAAGTTGTATATAATTAAATTTTTTATATCTTGTTAATTTTTATACAAAACAAGACATAATAAAATAATAATGGTGATTGTAGACAAAACAAAATATGCTCGGAACAATTATTGAGTTATAACTTCAAGTTATGTACAGGTGAAAATCGACGAATCGCGGTATGTTTACAGTTTCTCCGCTAAGAAATGCATTACGAAGAATAAAAGTCGTAAAGGGAACGAAAGGAGCTCGTATTCTATGAAAACGTTCTCAGCTTGCGCAGACAATGTTTAATCCGTGAGGTAATGTAAATATTTTTTGCGGCGGAATTTTTCCTTGTATCGCGAACGTAGTGAGATTAGATCCATTTCAGCATTTATGTCGCTAAAAGTTTTACTATGCTGTTGTTAAAAATGTATTAAGTGTTGCTATCCTGGTATAAAATAACATGATATGGTATAACATAACAATATTTAGCGACTTTGTGTGTAATATTATAAAATTTTACGATAAGCTTCTCAAAAGAAAATATTTTTCCTAAAAAATATAAAACCCAGAAATGTATATGTTATGCACAAATTAATAAATTTAGCACACTTTTCTAAGTAAATGTCATATAATTTATATAAAATAACATTAATAATAGAATGCATACTAAACTATGTCTTATTTCTTTTACTTTTATAAAAATATTTCTTTTATAAAAGAATCTTGCCTTAATAATAACGAGCTGTTATATATTTCAAGACAAATTTATTCTTTCTATAACTTGCTTTGTACATCGTCTCGGTACACTTCATTAAAGGAAAATTAAATGCTCAGCTCTGGAGCAGAGAAAAGCGAAGATCTATGACACATTCATTCTTTTTCTTATTTTTTATTTCAATATCGACAGAGTATCGATAGGGTAAACAAGTATTTGAAGACAATTTCAATATGACAAAATTTAATGAACAAAAATATAAAAGTTTCTTTGATCATGCAAAGAAATATCGCTATTAACAAACGCGATGCAGTTAAAATTTTACTATCTGATTAATCGTTATATTCTACATTAGATTTAGATTTTATACATTAAACAAAATATTTATAATCATAAATATAGTTTATTGCTATTTGGAAAGAAATAATAAAAATTTGTCTACCTAAAAATATTTGTCTAAAGTAGTCGCATATTATATATATTTTTCTTTTGCATTCCATGTTTACTAATTCTTAATTTTCTACTAGCGTCGCATCGTAGTCTTTTTACGGACATTTATCACCAGCAAGTAAAAATTTAATCAGGACTGCGACGAAAGTAGTTCTAACTCTCACTCTATTTTCTATTAATTATTCCGAGTTGTATAATCCAGATTATACTCCCGGAGATATCGCTAATTTCGACTTTGGTAAACCATGCTTGTACGCGCGCTTGTAGTTACAACTTTAATATAAAAAGTCTAGCTATGCTTTCCGATTTAATGATTAAACAAAAATATCAAACAGTGTACTAAAAACTATTCTTAAATTTTATGTGATATATATTTAGTTTTTTTCCTTCAAATTTTTGTTTAAATTTATTATTTTATATGTGTGTGTGTGTGTGTGTGTATATATGTATATATATATATATATATATATATATATATATATATTCGTTCTTGCAAATGAAATTTATAAAAATTTAGCAACAATTACATACGGATTCACTATGTCCTTGTGCAACAGCACGGCCGAAACGCCAACGATGTAGTAGACAAAACGCGGTAATAGCCATTCATATAAAACTTCCAAAATACAAGCTGCCATATGTTTAAACGGATTGTGAAATCGTACTGGACCAGGTGCTTCTAGACCAGCATACGAAGTTCTCGAAAAAAAGTACGGCCTCCAAGCAAGGCTCGAAACAATATGCGGTTCTTTTTTTCTAATCTAAACATAAAATTAAAAATATATTATATATATATATATATATTCATGAAACAGATGTATAAACTGATCAATATTTGCCGATATTTACCATGTATACTATGATTGGATTGAAACTCGATATGACGGCTCTCTGAAATAATTTTGGATATTTCTCGTATGCATCTAGAACAACTTGCACGACATCCATCCTTGTCTCCTTTATATCTATAATTATTCTTTGTTCATTGTTTAGACATTCCTGCAGCACATCATGCAACAGTGCGATCCTCTCACCTTCGAAAAATTTGCTCCTTTGGCAAAACAATCATTTTTCTTAATTAAAATACTCCGATATGTTATAAAACAATTTTATACACATAAAAAATTATAATTAAGTTAAAAAAAGACAAATATATGATCATACTTAAGTGGATGATTATAAGTTATATCAAATTCCTTCAATTCTTCCCATGTCATTTCACTGATTGTTCCCATCTGACCTGTGAGTCTTTCAATTGTTGGATCATGGAATAGTATTGGAATGTTATCTTTTGTTAGTCGTAAATCGAGTTCTACTGCAGTACAGCCCTTTTTTCTGGTCTGTAAAAAATACAGATAATGCATTAATAGATGTACCTAAAGTTAACATGTATATTCATCGCAAGATAAATATACTTAGAATTATATACAATGGGAATAGATAAGAATTCAATAGCCAATAAATGAGCAAACATGATGAATATATTAAATCATATTGATAAAAATTAAACACAATCTTTTATAATTCTTGTATGTATCCTAAGAAAAAACTTCACAAATTAAAATATCATTCTATTAAAGTAAAATAAAAATACATATAATTTGATATTATCTTGTTTGCTCGTTTATTAGTCTTTGTTAAATCTTTAGTTGTATTTAAATGAACTATTTCTTATACTTAGTATAATGGAAATATTTGCTAATCAAAACAGAATGATGCATCAATGTTATCGATGGATCAGTACTTTGTTAAAGAGTTCCTAAGCTTTATCAGTATTATCAAGCAACAATAATGTTAAACAGGCAAACAACAATCGAGAGAGACACACAAAACTCTAGGAGAAACAAAACTCTGGAAATAAATCTTAAGTACTATAAGTTATGCTTCCAAGTGTATGTAACTTTACGTTTCGGAAAGCCAACAAACTGTTCTCAGGATAATCGAGTCCTCCACCACGATGGGCCACCACTCGCATGCAATATTGCTCTCCGTTACCGTTGTTTTCGGACACGGAGTTATCTTTGCTCAGGAGGAACGGGTTCACGCCGAGCACTTCTTGCACAGTGTCGACAGGTGGTGGGGACACACGGGCCAATTTCAGCGCTACCATGACAATCAATGTACCCCAAACGATCCAGGGAACGCAAAACTCATACAAGACGGTGACCAGGACGCTCAGCACGGTCTCGAGGAATATCCATAGCAAAGCGCTGTTCACGATCAGCTCGACAATTTGATACATCTTGGCGTTAGCTTTCCACTGCACAGGATTGCGTGCCTAGGACTCCCCTTTGCCATACACGAGATGAGGAGGATTAGATGGTGTTTGTCTCGCGTCTTACTGTGTGTTACCTCAGATAAGATTATTGCCTCATGAGATTACAACTGCGATCGAATGATGAAAAATGCACAAGCGCGATAACTCGCGCAATGAGGATCCTGACGTAGCATGTCATTATTTCTTATAAATCTGAATCGCGCGGATTTCAAGTGTTCGCGGGGACTTCGTAGAGAACCTGGACGTCCTCCAAGATTATATATAATATGTGTGTGTGTGTGTGTGTGTGTGTGTGTGTGTGTGTGTGTGTGTGTGTGTGTGTGTGTGTGTGTGTGTGTGTGTGTGTGTGTGTATGCAATGCAAGGGGGCGTTGACTTTCTTTTTTTCTCCTCGCGATACACCGACAAGATCGTCTCCCTTTATTTCGTTCTCCGTCTCTCGAGTACGCTCAATCGTTCTATCAAATAGTTTGACACGCGATTTATTCGAGAAACAACCGTGAATGCATGTACGGCCGTAATCAAATATCTAAACAAAAACAAGACTATCGCGACGCCAATTACGCGATCTTCAGGCGCGTTCCTATGCAAGATGCATAAAAAAAAATTTAATCGCGCATGCGCCGTTTATTATTTATCGAGCGTTAGTAAATCAGATCGCTCGAGTACAAATGATGATAAGATACGTTAGTAAATCAGATCGCTCGAGTACAAATGGTGATAAGATAATAATCTTTTTTATCTTTCATGTCGGTTAAAAAGAAAAGCCGGAAATTTACATATTGGAGCGAGTGAGAGAGGGAAAGAGAGAAAAAGGGAGATGAGGGAAAGAGAGAGGGAGAAGTTGACGAAAAATGCTTAAATATGCCGATGTGCTAATCTCCCAAATTAAATGCTGAATGGTGCTAAGATTGCATTTCGATATTCGTTTCAATACTAAATATGTATAGTATGTGTCACATATATTATAGATTTTCAATACCGGCACTAAACAGCGAAACAATAGTTTGAATATGTATGAAATCATGACAGAGCCAAAAAGACCGTAACTCGATATATTTATGCTTCGTGTCTTCATCAATAATTAAATGCGCGACGACTCTGTGCGTAGTGCATGATAAGAATTTTTTTACATATGTGTATGTATGTTTCATATTAAAAAAGTGATTACGTCTGTTTTCAGAGTTGAAATTAATACTAAATAAAACTATTGACTTGAATTGACACGAATCATTCAAGAGCGAAGTGGAGTCCTGTTCGGAGTGTTAAGAATATTTCGTCTTTTCATAATTTTTGTCTGTATATACACTATTTGTGTCAGTCCCTTGCTAGACTAAAGCCAAAGAAAAAGAAAGAGGAAGGAAGGAGTAAAATAATATTTGAGCAATATAAATATGGCAGGAACGAAATCCAAGAAAGCAGGTGCTCTCGCAAAGCTCTATTTATTATCATATAATCTCGGACAAACTCTGGGGTACGTTAAAGCTTTCCTATGATATTGAAAGAATAAGGAAAATGAACAACTTGGGATTTGCTAAATTTTTTTCATAAATGTTTTTTTCTATATTTTTTACTTTTTTACTTTGTTTTCTTTATTAAAGAAAACTATAAATTTTATTATTTTTTATTTGTTTCTCTGGATATAGAAATATAAAAATATATATAAAAAGGAATATATAACATGTATGTTAAAATATAGATATATTTCAAAATAAATTCTTTATTTCAGATGGAGTTACATATTGTATCAGATTATACAATATTATATCAGTCCTTCCACTGGCAGCAGCTTGTGGGATAAGATTAAGCTGCCCATAATCATTTTTCAGAATGCAGCTCTGTTAGAGGTATTTAATAATATCTAAGAATTAGGCCTAAATATATAACTAGACATAATTTAAAGTCTTGAGTCAAACTTTCTTTTTAGATAATACATGCAGCAACTGGTATGGTACCGTCTAATGTTATAATCACAACGTTACAAGTTTTAAGTCGTGTTATAGTTGTTGTCGCGATTATCCTGGCTACTCCTTACACGTACGCTGCTTCATCGCCAGGTCTTCCACTAGCTCTTATCGCGTGGTCTATTACAGAAATTATTAGATACTTTTATTATTTTGTAAATCTCATCAATATTGTCCCATATGTATTAGTCTGGCTGAGGTGATTAATCTTTTGTCTTAATTAAAATTATTTTTACTTTATGTTCAAGTTATATTAAAGTAGAAACGTTCTTTTAGATATACCACGTTTATTATATTATATCCATTGGGCATTACTGGTGAACTGTTGTGTTTCTATTCTGCCATAAAATACGCTACTGCTAATCCTGACTCTTGGAGCTACACTCTACCGAACAAATGGAACTTCACGTTTAGTTATTTGTATTTTCTGGTAACAGTCGTATTAACTTACATTCCATGTAAGTATTGAGAATGAATATGTAAATACAAAAAATATGTAAAACGAGAATTATTTATTAATATTTGTCTGTTTGTAGCATTTCCACAACTTTACTTGCACATGTTTGCGCAAAGACGCAAAATACTTAATCCTGATGCTGCTACGAAGAAAACACGTTAACTTATAAATTTGTATAATGATGATAAATATTTTGATATATACATTTTTAATCTCTATGAGGGATTTGTAGAGAAAATTTATTTACAGAAAAGGATAAAAGGGATTTATTATATAATTTTTTATTTATATTATATAATTTTTATTTATATTATATAATTTTTATTATATGAAATATATTATTGAAAAATGGATATGCTCAATGGTAAAATATTAAATATATATTTTGTATTGTACACTTTTATTCTCTGCCTTGGTAATTGCCAAGCTAAGTATCTTTATGTTTGCGATATTGATCGTCATTTTTATAGCTAAGATAAGATTTATATTCCCGTCGAGTTTTTTAAATTTTTAGATTTGAATTTATCTAATTTGCTAATATCCCTTTCGATAAAAAGTGCGCGCGCGCGCGTTGATGGTTATCGACTCAACATCGATAAGTCAAGTCACTATAATTCAGCAAATAATGCTGCACCTTCTGTATTACCGATGTAACTTGGGATACGTTCCGTTTCACGCATAAGTCTCGGTCCACAATAGATATTTAATCTTTAAGTCGTAAGAAATTGACCTATCATAAGCGATTATTCTTTTCATATTCGATTATGATTGGTCAATTTTTTACTTCTTGAAACTTAAATCACCTATTGTAGACCAACACTAAGTGTCGGTCCACAATAGGTGATTTAAGCTTTAAGAAGTAAGAAATTGACCAATTATAATCGAATATGAAAAGAATACTCGACTATGATTAGTCAATTTCTTACGGCTTAAAGATTAAATACTTATTGTGGACCGACACTAATGCGCATAAATCGCATAGCAACTGTTCCATTTCATCTAATGCGCGCATTGGCTGCGTTCAGCAGAGAAAGCAGATCAGTAAGCGCTTAGTGATTTTTCAATATAATCCTTGCCTTTAGATCTTCGTTAAATGTAAGAATGTAGAAACCAATCATAATAAAGAATCACTGAACGCTCACTGATCTGCTTTCTCTGCTGAACGCAGCCATCGATAATGTATCGATATTCCCTAGATTCCTCCCACCATTAGCGCATGAAAAACGCATTAGCTACTATAAGTAAAACTTGTGACAAGCTATGCGCGCCTGCGCATATAAGTTTTTTTTAAACCAGGTGTAGCCATAAACCAATTAACGATAACTAGCTGCTTCTTAAAAAAATTCAACGTATAAAACTATATATATATATATATATATATGTTTTAATTATTTACAATTATTATTTTTCTAGATTATGATCATATTAATGAAAAATTTTGTTCTATTTTTTAATTTTAATTCAATAATTATTACTCACCGAAAATGTTCTTTGAATGCTGTTCTCGAATAGCCGGGAATAACTCTTTCGACATAATCGGATAATTTTTCTGATACGATTATTTCTCCTCGCGTAGTATTAACCATTAAAATGAGATATAATATCTCTAATTCTTTATTTAAAATAAATTTTTCATTTTCACCATCACTATTATTAATAAATTTTATTCCCGTCAAATTGCATCAAACCGCATTTAAACCGTTCCGTTTCTAAGCGCACATACTGCGCATTAGTGAAACGGAACGCTATCTATGCCGCAGCGCAGTGTCTGCTATCTATGCGCTCGATGTGTGAAACGGAACGGACCCTTTAAATGAGTCAAAAAAATTATAGGTTACGTTTCATGCGCCGAATATATTGGAGATTTAACAAAAGTTGGTCTTTAGCCATCGAGTGAGTGGGACGTCTTTTGTCCTCACATGAATTTTTGTGTTGCGTCATGCAATTTGTTAAGGATAAAGAGAAAGCTAAACGTGGATAAAGAGAAAGTTGAACTAGAATATCACAGAATACAGAGAAACTTATAAAGGATTTAGATAAACCTGTGTTATATAACCCTAGGGTTGAAGACACATAGTCGGAATTAATCCGACATCCTCCAACCGGAGGAAAAGAGAAAAAAAAAAAGGAGATTTAACAATATTATTTAATTTGAGTTTGTTATTTTTAATCGATGTGAGTCACGATATCAAATCTCGACATTTTATTTTTTATATTGATTGATAAAAGCTTAATATCTACCAAGAAAGAAGAATTTTTTTATAAAATAGGATATAATATAGGAATAGGAAACCTCAACGTTGTCCGGATATTATTAATGTATTTGTTTTAGATAAAACACAATGAAACTCACGCGTGTGTTGTATAAACAACATATAGGTAGACAGATTGCTAAATTATGGTATGTCAAACGAGAACGCAAGATACCTATTACTAAGGCAGAAGGATATCTGTCAACATTAGGGATTCAGGTGAAGGATGCTTCAGAAGTGGCCTGCCCAAAGCAGATACATCCAAAGTATTTTTTTTCTATAATTATATTTTTCATAGATTACATGCTTATATTATGCTATATTTGATACTGATCATAAATTACATCTTATATCAGGTTAAACTTAGAATTTCTAAAACCTAGAGAACTATCATTTGATGAAACACATCCTGATTGGAAAGCTCAAACTTGCTTAATATTTAAGGATCACAATGTTTTGCAAGAAGGCTTTTCCCAAGCACAGATATTAACGAACACTGTATGCCTGCCGAACAGTCAGAATTATATCCAAGATTCGTTTCCAGATTTGCCAGAACACATAGATGACATAGTAAAAAGGTATATTGAATTTAATTCTTTTTTAATTCTTTGTTTATTTATTGCACACTTCTTGGCATTTTCAGAATAATTTATACTTCAAATATATTTGATGCTCATCAAGAAATATTACCAAAGAAAAAAAATCCTGAAAAACTTTCATGGGTATATCCCAGAGATTATGGCATAACTAATTGCAGAAAAATGTTAGTAAACTAAAAATTAAGTATTTTTTAGCATATGAAATACATATATATTTATATATATATATTTATTTCTATAGGCGGAACTTATCTAAAAAATTTGTACAACTTTGTGAGTCCTTATCAGGTCCAGATATCGCGCAAAAACGTTGTGTATTTTATGATGGGATTACAAAATTAAACTTGGGTAACTAAATTAGATATTTAAAATATTGAATTATGTATTTATACTTTATTCAGATATTATATAATATAAAAATGATTTTCAGATAAAGAGTCAGATTTCATCCAATTCATCCTAAGATCAGATGTAATGATCATGTCGGCAAATCTTTTAAAACCGATAGAAAGTTCCAATAGTTCCATAGAAATAGATTTGCCAAATATGTATCCATTACATTACACTATTGGCTTGGACGAGACAAACTTTTATAAAACTGAAGAGATGTATCGTAAGTTTAAGCTTATTATTTTCAACACATATTGTATACTTCTAATATTATGAATATTTTATATTAATAATAGCTGTCAGCACAACTTCGCCTTGGATAAATGTTCATACCATCTTTGTGCATTATGATCCTGAGGAAGTGAAAAATCTGACAGAATTACCTGTGACGCAGAATCAAATTATCGGTCGCACATTGTTAAAGACATACACCGCGGCAGTGTCCTGTGCACGACAAAAGTTTGGTTTATCTGTGAAGAAACTGCCAGAACCTGTGACCGTACAGTGCATTCAGTCAGATGGGAAGAATTATCACTTTTTCATATTTCAACTCAATTCGTTAGACACTAATGATACTAACACGAAGAATTTCTGGTGCGCTTTGCCGCCGTTGACGCTCTATAAAAAAGCTGAATATGATAATGGTAAGCCAGTAGTTGAGGGATATAATCAAGAGGTATTTAGGAGAATACTTGCATTTTATAGGAATGGAAGTTAAATAAAAAATCTATTAAATTAATATGGAATTGTTAATTTTCCAATTTTTTTATGATTAATATTTTCCATGTATATCAACATACCATTAATATACGCCTCGTGACACTATTATACAATGCTTAGAAGATTTTCGAAAAGCGTACTTGCTTGCACATTTGGATCGATTTCTTTTGGTTTTACTCGGAGGCGATGATCTTGCGGTGGTTTTATTAAATTTTTCATGGAAGGATATGGTTTTGAATAAAAATATATGTGACATAATGCCTGTATGAACAATACAAGAAAAGTATTAATCAAGAGGACAATATAATTTGTATGTATAAATAATTGAAAAGGGATTTAATGGGCCGATAAACGAACAACAAATGATGTAAATTATACATAAATGTATATTTGTTAAAAATTAAAAATCAAATCCCATTAAATCTCTTCTGAAATAGTAATCAATTGAATATCCAAGAATAACAGGAATCTTTATTTTTGATTATATCACTTCAAATATCATAATATAATTGTATATATATCATACCTGTTCAGCTGTGAGACGTTTTGACGAATTATAAATCAAGATCTGCCTGATAAGATCAACAGCTTCGGGCTGAGCGTCTTCAATGATTCTCTCCCACGTTGTGCCTTTGTGATAAGGAAAGGTGATTTTGTTATAATCCGGTAACGAAGTTAATTCGGGCCAAGATTCGGATGTAGGTGAACCCAAATATTTCAAGACTATAGCCAATTGTTCGATGTCAGTTTCACCCTGTAATTGCAGCATTGTTATAATTTAATTTATTTTAGTTAGGAAGAATATTTACTGGAAATAATGGCGATGCGTTCAGCATTTCACCGAATATGCAACCAATCGACCACATATCAATTGCGGATGTGTAATATCGTGCCCCATAAAGTAGTTCCGGTGCTCGATACCACCTTGTGGCAACCTGATGCGAATATGGCTTTATGCCATCCCGCCACATCAATCTGCTTAAGCCAAAATCAGCAATTTTCAAAATACCTTTCTCGCTGATCAACAAGTTCGCAGGTTTTAAATCCTGAAATGTGATTTCAACATTCTTAAGGAGTTCTAGAAGAGATATCATGTATATCCAGATTCTTTCTGAGATAAGAGGAACAATATTTTGGATACCCTGTGTATTATATTTTTGCCATGCACGTACGCTATACCCTCCAACAACATTTTCATATACGTTTTAATTTGCGCCAGTGTCAAGGATATCTCGGTGTCTCTCAATACTTCCCATAAACCTGTTGGCATATATTCGAATACCATCACAAAGTCTAAACCACTTGGAAAAGCATCCAACAGTTCAACGACCTACGTACATGTATAATATAATACAATGGCCATGAAAAAAATAAATTAATAAAAGAAAAAATTAGTGAATACTTTAATACTAATTCTTTCTGATTGAAGGTATTAGATAGAAGAAAGCTATACATAGGGATGTTTTAATTGCTGCAAACTTTTCACTTCACGTATAATGGAGATGGGAAGGCCACCTTCGGTTTTTTTAATTAGAATTTTTTTTAACGCTACTTCTTGATCTTTGGACGTATCAAATGCTTTTAGAACCAAGCCTTGCGCTCCTTCACCGATCTGACCATTGATGATATATTTCTCCATGTCCAGTTTTATCCTAAAAATTTATAATTATCAATCTAAATAACATTTATTGTTGCTTATTATATTAATTATATATAAATAATACATCGATCAATGAATATACAATTTATTGTATAACATAATTAAAAATATTCATAATAAAAATATTCTTAGTGAAAATATGCAGACAATAAATTAATTATTAAAATATTCATTTAATTGTATATTAAATAAAAATTTCTCTTGCGTAAATTAAATGAGTGATTAGTATGATTGAATTATATTTCTCTCATGACTTACTTTCTAAGATTTTTTATCAAATAAAATCTAAGAAGATCGTTCAACTTAACATATCTTTATACAAATATGAAAAAAAAATTATCGATACACGATATGATTATTCAGCAGCGAATATGCTTTGCAGTTTCCATGGTTACCAATATGGTACACTACATTATCATATAATCGCTTCACGACGCATGCGTACTTGTCTGGCAAAATTGTCATATATATATATATATATATATATATATATATTTTATCATACTTTATATATTTTATCATATTTTGCGATACGCGTGAGAATACGTTGTGATCGAATGCATGTGAGAAAGTAATTAATTCGTTAGAAAAATTGACGGCCATGTATTCAGATTGTTTAATGCGTTTTCTGTGAGAAATACGTGGCACGTAGAAACGTATATTGCGCGTAATCGAGTAAAACGAAAAACAATAAGAATGAAGCAACAAATAATTGATTCTAAAGCTAATCCTAGCGCGACTGGGGAAGCCGACGACTGTCTCTTTGAATATTTGCACGCTGAGCTGGTCAATTACGTCTTGAGCAGATCGTCCAATGCAGTGAGTAATCGGCATAAAAATATAAATGAGACTTTTGTACACGCAAGAAATTGCGTTATTGCGCAAAAAAAGTTTTCTAAAAATGTTTCGTTTGTTTCCTTCAATAGGAAGGCGAGGAGGAACTCTCGCGTCTAGAATGGATGGGATTCAGCGTCGGATACAGAATCATTGAACGGCTGACAAGAGAATGGAGCAGATTCAAGGATGAATTAGATATGATTAAGTTTATCTGTACGGATTTCTGGTCCAGCCTGTATCACAAACAGATTGATAATCTCAGGACTAATCATCACGGAGTATATGTATTGCAAGACAATGCCTTTAGGTTATTGGATAAAGTCGGTACGAGTAATAGCAAGCAGTACCTCAAGGAGAGTCCACGTCTGTTGGCTTTCACTTGTGGCCTCCTGCGAGGTAGCTTAGCGAATCTTGGAATTATCAGTACGGTTACAGCAGAAACTGTTACACTACCAAGTTGCAAATTTCATGTCCAAGTCCAAAAGATTTAATAGCTGTTTTGACCAATTTGAGAAATAAGAAAGTGTAAAAGTATGTATAAAAAAAGTATATATAACAGTAAAGCAACTCTTATACTGTATGAGACTCAAAAGAATATAATAGATATTCATCATATATCAT